CTTCTGAATCACTGAAAAAAAAATGTGTCTTGATACATGGAGAAAACATGGGCACAGCTTGGAACATCAGAATTCCTTAAATGTCCTCCAGGCCAGTGAAATTTGAATAACTCTCTTTTCTTCCCTAATTACTACCAGAAATTTGATACTTCGACCAGGGAAAAGAGAAGGGAAGAAGATGATATGTTTCAAAATGTCTTTAAGCAATCTATCGTGTTGATGAGGATTGCTTTTGTGATTATAAATGTAAACAGTCTACAAATCTTGGTTTGATTTCAAGCATCTTATTTTTGGAAAAAATGTCAATGAGAAGCAATACGATAAGGTAGTAAAAGCTTAAGGTGCCCATTTTAGTACAAATTTTGGAAAATTTATAGATGTTAAAATGTCATCATGGATGGAGTGATAAAAACCTAGTTATTTCCTGTTGAGTTAATATATTTATACGTGGAGCCCAGAAAATTGACTGGTATTGACATTGGGATGAAATTAACCTAATCGTCATGTAATTATAAGAGGGCTTTGCTCTTAAAAATGTATCAATTCACTTCTTAGCTAAATATCATACAAGTAAGTTATAATGAAAACAGCAGAAATAGAAGCTGTCCCCTAACAGATACGCAGCTAGCAAGAAGCGTAAAGATGAAATCATAAAGTGAAAAAAGAATATAAATCTGTGACCAAAAAATACTGAATTCTCTTGGGGGAGATTTCTTTTCAGGAAAGAATAATTCTCTTTCCACAAATAAAGAAGGATGAGGGAGATGCAGGATTTAAAAAGTAAAATAAATCAACTTCCTTACAGAAACTAAACAACAAAAAAACCACAATCTAAGCAATACAGACCAGTAACTGACAGCAGCTGAGCAATACTGGTTTCTAACTCTTGGAAGGTTGAGGCAAGAGGAGCTCAGGAGTTTGAGGACAGCTTTAGCTACATAGAATTCCCAACACGCTTGAGTGTCATAGCAAGAGCCTATCTCATAAGGGGGGAAAATCCCAGAGCAAGCAGCACCCAAAGACTTAAATAAAGCTTGGACACCACCACTGTGGAGCAATTCCTTTTCCTGTTCTCTGTTCCTATGGGCCATTAAAAGAGGAGACCACACAAAGCATCTCACCTCCAGCTGCTGTTGGAAAAGAAAATACACTGATCTCCAATATGGTTTCAAGAGACTCAAGAAATCACCTGTGTTTTATCTGAAAACATTTATCTGGACATAGTGAATTAAGCATGGGCAAGATGAAAAAGATCAACATTGTAGCTAAAAGTCATGTGGTAAGGCACAGCATAGCCTGCAAAGTAGAAAGGCTCCAACTCTTCTTTTGTGTGTTCATTACTGAAACAAAATGCCTGAAAATCATTAATCCATTGGTTTATGGATTTTGGTTCTGTGAGAAAAGAGTGTATCTATTGCAGAAGAATTTGTTCACCTCATGGTCTGCAATAAAAGGAAAAAATGAGAGGCAAAAGAGAACAAGATGCCAGGATCCCCATCAAGGTCCCCCTTTCAAAGACCTAAAGACCTCCCAGTAGGCCCCACCTCTCAGATTCTAGCTCCTCCCAGTAGCACTAAGGACTATGGCACAACCCTTTATAGATGAGCTTTTGGTGGACACTCTAGATCCAAACTGTAGCATCCTTGAAGAAAACTAACTTAAGCAGCAGAAATACATGGCCGTTTAATAAGAATGTAATGTATATTCTGAGAATTCAACAAGAGTATAAAAGTAACTTTAAACATATAGAGATGTGTGGAATAAAAAAACAGAATGGAAAAATCTATCAAGTCAAAAACTAAATATAGCATTAATGCACAGAAAGTGTTTGTATTTTTAACATAGGTGAGACTTGTTGAAATTTTGCTTAACAATAGAAAAATATGTGATCACAGGTAACAATGAAATTAGGTAGGCAATGTAATTAAGGACAGAATCTAAAATCTGTGGAGACATTCATATATTAATCAGTGTGAGGCAACCATTAGAATCTCTTTTTTGCCCTTTTTATTTACTTTAAGTAGTTGTACAAAGGAGTTGCCATTTAATAAGGCAGTTTATGATATCTTGATCAGTGTATCTTGATCAGTGTCACCCCTTTCAACATTGTCACCATCCCTCTCCTATTCACCCCTTCCTTCCCTGTTCTTAATTTTGTAGGATATATACTAGATTCTTGACTACATTCTTACCTGCTTCTCTTCTCTTATACCCCTTCCCTTGACCCCAACCCCTTTGAAGTACCCACTTCCTGGTGTTTTAATTTACTGAGTTTTAACTTTGCCTTTCTAAGGAATTGCAGTATTCAAGTTCTCTCTTGAATCTATCATATTTTAATTAATACATTTGTATACACTTCTAACATATACCACCTAACATATTTACTTGAAAGTTTATAAGCTAAATCTAACCTCTGCATATAAGGGAAAATATACATCCTTTGTGTCTCTCTGTACTAGAATCACTTAGCAAAAGCTCTCATAAATAGACCAGAAAACATATTGAAAAATACAGTAAGAAATTTACCTGCAATGAGAAAAGGACCAAATCTATTCCAAAAAGGAAAAAAGAAAAGTAATATAGAAATGCTCAAGAGCCAAATAATAAAGCTGTTAAACCTCAATGATAAAGAAATAATTCTCTCAGAATCAAACCAGAGTAAGTCAGTTTCCTACTGGACAAATGCCATCATCTCGTCTTGAGCCATGGGGAAGGAAAAGCCACCCAGAATAACACAGGCATGATGATAGCAAGGAGGCATGCTTAAACCTCAGAGAAGAGAGCAACTCTGAGTATTTTCAACCTCATTGAAAATACTCAATATCAAATATCCAACCAATGACAAAATATTCAGATTACCCAGAAGTGGTTAAATGGTGGTGACCACATTCCATTTGCTTAAATGTAGAACATTTACGCAACTGTGGAAATTGGGGTTACAGATAGTCTATCAATGACAAAAACTTATCAGAATAAAAATAATAACTAGAAAATATGGAAGGTAGGAGACCAGAAATGGATGGAGGGGAAAAGGTAAGAAGTTATTTTCTCATCTTTCTCAGCAAGCAGTCAACCAATACTGTAGAAAATTATAGCATGTTGTTTGCAATGCAAGCATGTCATTATTTCAATCTCTTTCTATTTTATAATCCTTTTTTAACCTTAGGAAGATAATTTAGGACATAATAACATCTATACTGCTGAAATTCTTTTCTTTGAAGTTTTACAGTTCTTTTACTTTTTCATCTCTAATGTTATTCAATTATGATTAAAAAATAGTACTAAGTATAACTCTAGTCTGTAAGTCTCTGAATAGTTGTGGAACTGTGGATCAAGCCCAGGACCCTGCACATGCTATACAAGTACTTTCTAGCTATACAACCCACCCCACCTGCATTGGTTTTTAATAGTTGATTACAATGACATTCATCTACTGTTAATCATGATTAGCTCTAAGATGTCAAGCATTTAAAAAAGCTTTAATTTTCAAAGCATGCTACTTGTAACAAATTATTCCAAGTCAATACTATTATCTTACACCTAAAGATAGGTCAAATACTCAGATATAGTTAATTCTGAGTGGTAGGGGTATTTAAAATTACTTTTTCTTGGTACACTTAGTGTGAGTAGGGAGTGAGGAGAAGAGAATATGTATTTAAGGTCATTCCCAAATGTATATCTTTTTATGTGGGAGTGTAATCTTGAGTCTAAATGCCAGCCCTTCTATTAAGACATCAAATGGAGGGAAAGAAGGAACAGCTTACACCAAGCAAAAGGAAAGAAATGTAAATATTACCTGATAAGGAAGAAATAATTGTATTGTCAAAGCTCATAGAATTCACAAACTTTATAGACCATGATAATAACAATTTGCCTTGTGAAGGTGAAAATATGTCTGTGACTCTAAGTATTACTATTCCACAATACTGTGAAGTGTGAAATTTATGTAATCACCTAAGCTCCATTTCTCCATCTTTAAAGAAGAAGAAAAGCGAGAGAAGGGGTGGGTTAGGAGCAATGGGTGACAATGTTATCAGACACTTTGTATTCGTATACAGTCTTGTAGAATGGGAACTTCTTTGTACAACTACTTAAAGATAATAAAAAAAATGAAAGACATTAAATGTTACTAAAATATATTTTCTGGGTTCATTTGACACCCAGTGAACAGATCTTCATGGAGATGTCTTAGAGACAATTCTCTTTTCAAAAGGAAGTCTTTGGATTTAGCTTTTCATGTTTGTTGTTGTAGTGCCTAAGGACCAAACTAAGGGCCTTCCACTTGCTGAGCAAGAGCTCTTTTCCTGAGCTAAATCCCGAACCCCCAATAGAAATTATATAACAGATTTTGAGCAGAGTTGGAAAGAGAGACACCCTCCTCTTTGAAAACTGGGGCTCAAATGTTGGAAACAGCTTTGTCGAGATACAATTCACATATCTTAACATTCATCCTTATGATTCCATGTGTTCTAGTGTACTGTGTCACCAAGGTGTGATCACCAACTGTCTAATTCCTGAACATTCGCAGTACCCCACCCCCAAAAGAAATCTTCTACCCATCAGCAGTTCATGTCCCATTTCTCCCTCCTGCCAGCCCCTGGCAACCACTAATCTACTTTGTAGATTGGCTTATTCCAGACATTTCCTATAAATGGGATCATACAAATGAGCCCTTTTGTGACTGGCTTCAGTCATTCAGCATAATGTTTTCAAGATTCACCTATGTTGGAGAATGTGACTGTCTTATATTTCTTTTTAAGGCTGAATAATATGCTACTTTACAGCAATATCACACTTCGTTTATCCAGTCATGAGTTGGTGGACATTTCATACTGTTTTAACATTAGTGTGAATAATGCTGCCACAAACACAGGTTTTTGTGTGAATATCTGCTTACATTTTTTTCCTCGGGTCTATTCTAGGTCTGGACCTGCTAGGTTATATGGTAAGGAGTTGTTTAGGCACTCAGACACTCAAACTGCCATTCTCTTTATCCATAGGCAGAAATGGTGCACGGAGCGTTCCAGGCCCAGCGGGCTTTCCTTCTGATGGCCTCTCAATACCAACAACCCCAAGAGGTAAGTGGATATTGTGAGAAACAGTGCTGCCTACTGAATGGGCAGAGTAGGCCTAACCCAGGCTATCAGCAGAACCATTTCCTGGCAGAGACAGCCAAAAATGAGATGTATAACACATGGAGGTCTGTCTCCAATCCAGATCATGCTGTCAATAGTTCCTCTATCTTCTTAATCTCAGTAGATAAGCAAGCATTACAAATGTAATGTGCCTCCGAATTACTAATGTGTCACATGACTATGGCCAAGTTATATTAAGACAATGGATATCATCAGTGTAGAAGGTCAACTCATTTGAAACATCTGTATCCTTTTCTTTATACTAGTCTCACAACTTTTTATGACCCAGGAAGTGCTCACTACTAATTCTTTGTTCTGATTTTTGTATTGCTTTTTTATTAAGACTATTCATATCTACGATTATCTGTAACTTCCTCAGGTACATGTATCAGCTTCTGTATTTTAAGTAGCATAATCAGGCTGAATTGGTTCTTCTCAAATATCTGTGTTCTAGAAGGTTTCTTTGTGCTTTCTGATTCATTAGGTCTGGAATATGGCCTAAGACCATTTATTTATGTGCTGGTCCTACGACTTGAACTCAGGGCCTGAGTGCTGTCCTTGAGCCCTTTTGTTCAAGGCTAGCACTCTACCACAGCTCTATTTCTAGCTTTTTGATGCCTATGTGGTGATAAGATTCTCATGAACTTTCCTCCTGGTTGCTGGCTGCAAACTGAGCTTTTCAAATCTCAGGCTCCTGAGTAGCTACGATTATAGGCATGAACCACTATGCCTGGCTCCAAGACTGCTTTTCAATAAGCTCCTCAGTGATGCCCAAGCCATCCTGTCTGGTGAGAAGGAATCTTTAATAGTAATTTGGACACAGGGAAGGAAGATAATACAGAATAGAAAGCTTCAGGTGGTGCCTCAGATTCTGCTACTGAGAGTTAATGCTGTGGAAGCATAAAGCCTTAAAGCTAACTTAACTACAGTGGTTATTTGTAGTCTCAGCCACATGAGTCTGAGGAGAGAGCCTAGCTCCACCCTGCCTCATTCCTGCCTTTGCAGGAATAATAGATGAAATAGTAAATGAGTGTTATTTTAAGCCACTGATTAGCTATGCCGCAATAGAAAACTAATATGGCTTGTCTTTGATTCCCTTCATCACGGACTCTGAAACAATTGTTATAAGACTATGGGATAATGTGCCTTGAGTTTCTCCATCCACACCCCTCCATCTATCCTGAGAGAAGCAGGAGTGTCTGCAGCTGTGACTGACAATGGTGACTCCATTTGAAGTTTCTTTATCGTGTTGTCTGTCACTACTCAACAGGTCTGTCTAATAGAAATGTTTTCAGATTCTTCAACCCCATAGAAAAAGAATATATACATATATATATATATATAATATACAGGAATATATATATGCGATATATATGTAATGAATACAGGAAATGAAGAAAATGGCAGGAAACATGACACATCTCTCTGTAATAACCCTAAACATTAATGGACTCAATTCTCCAATCAAAAGAAGAAAAATAGCAGATTGGATCAAAAACACATGATCCATCCAATATTTGAATTCTGTTTGGAGTTATTTTTGAATTGATTAAAGCTTCCACTAATTATGATATATGTCTTTTAATACATTACCTGTATGTTACAGTCATTGAATAAATAAAAGCATAATCTCTGATCTTAGATAAAAGAATTCAGATACAGACATTTGCACAAAATAACATACATATAAATATAAAGAAGCATCAAGAACAACATAAAGACCATCTAGCTAATTTAGAAAATAGCTCTATTGCAAAATATATATATATGTGTGTATGTATGTATATATACATATATGTATATAAATATATATATGTGTGTGAATATATTTAGCTTCACCATACAGTTGAGCACATTCTTGTCATGTTCATTGCTTCTCTTATTTTTCTCGTAATTCATCCTATTGCTCTGTCCTTTTTTTCTTTCTTTTTTTTTTAAAAGACTGGTCATGACCCACTGAATTGATTTCACAATGTACTATTGGATCACCTCTTGTAATTTTTTTTTTGTTTTTTTTTTGTTATTTTTGGGTCCGGTCGTGAGGCCTGAACTCTGGGCCTGTGCGCTGTCCCTCAGCTCTTCAGCTCAAGGCTAGCGCTCTACCACTTGAGCCACCTTCCCAGCCCACCTCTTGTAATTTAATAGCACCTGTCTTGTTGACATAACATCTACAACACAAAACTCATTGCAAGACATTTGCAGAACATCTTATGCTTTTCTTGTCTCCCTTGTTGTAATGTATAAAATTAATCTGCAGGCAGAGGAACATCTCAGGCCTTCCAGTATTTGCATCTAGAATTTTTAGCAATGATTTGCAAAGCCAATCTTCTTCCAATTGATGGAAAGATTTTTGTAGAGAAAATTTCCAAGAAACTCCCACCCTGGAATGCTCAATTATTCTTTATCTTTATAATAGCTGGAAACAGGGGATATATATTTATTTCTAATTCATAAGCATGAAAAAGATTATTCAAGGGTACATTAATGACCTTCGTTACAGGATCTGGTCCTGGATTCATTTCTTTTCCTTTTCTCCAAGAATTTTTTTTTATTTAATTAGTTTTTAAAATTATTATCAATAAGTAGTTGCATTAAGGAGTTGCATTTAACACAGCTTTTCTTTACTTATCATCTGTTATCTGTTACTTTAATAAAATAAAAATAAATAAATGCAAGAGCTTAGAGTTTCCTCTGAGAGTTTTGGTGCTTTTTTTAAATTTAAATTTGTTTTAACTGCTAGACAAAATTGTACACATTTACAAAGCATAATACATGTATACCTTGTATAATGTTCAAAATACATTAATAATTTGTCAGTTTAAAACTAAGAAAGAAAACCTAGTGACAGTAACTGCGGGATTTCAGTTCACTGTTTAGGTGCGTGAGAAGTCCAAGCCACTAAGCAGTAGAAATGTTTGGGATTTTAGTATGTATAATAATAAATAATAAATGTTGGAAGAGATAGCTACATGAATGCTGATTCAAAGATTGCACATTGTATATGTGTATGGAAAGATCACATGATATATGACAAATACACACATTTTTATATTCTTATATTTAAATAAACATTTAATTTTTTTATTTAAATTTTTTTTAAATATGTGAAGGTGTTTAGGAGCAGAAACTTTGGATTTGGGATTACCTGGGTTTGAAACTCTGAATTAACTCGGTTAATCCAAGTAGCAGTAAAACTGAGTTGGCGCTGGAGGCATGGCTCAATAGAGCACCTGCTTTACAAGCCAAGGCCTTGAGTACAAACCCCAGTACTGCCTGATAAAAGAATAACATACTACTGTCTGGCTCTCTTAACTTTGCTATCTTTTTCTGGGTGGCTATTGGTGAATTAACCTGGCAAAACCAACAGTACATTTCTTCAGAGACACTATAACCAAACCCACTTCTTGATTACATCACCAGGAGTAAGGCAATTAAAGTTTCTGAGTTGTCTTATCTTTAAAAATAAGGATAAAGACAATGGTTGCTATCTGCAGAGTAGTTATGAGGATGCTTGAGAGAGAACAGCCAAAAGTCAGGTGCCTGAGAGAACTCAGCATTAGTTTCAACAAAAAGCCCCCAAATCTCAAAGGCTTACCAACATAGGCCTTTTTTTTTTCTTGTTCATATAAGATCTCTTGTGGTTCTGGTTATCAGTCTGCTGTGGCAGGGAGCAAGCTTCTTCCATACTGGGGCCCTATCTTCTCTTGGTCCATAGCCTTTGAGTTAACTGCAAGATTACTTCCAGGCAGAATTTTCTAGAGGCCTAGAAGTGGCATCTGTCACCTGTATCTTCATTCAGTCTCAGGGCAATTCTTGGCTGCAAGGGAGGCTGGAAAATGTAGTTCATTGTGTGCCTGAAGGAAGAATTCACAACCTCGGGAAACATCTAGTGTGCCACTTGGTTTAACTATACTAAGGTCTCTGTTAATGTGTATGTATTATTATTCCAAAAACTCAGAAGAGTTTTTTCACATCAGTACCCCCCATTTCTCTAGATCTAGAAAAAGACAAAACAGACTTTCAAATCTAGCAATTGAATGATTTATTGCACTTGTATATGAATAGAGAGATATAACTATATCTACAAAAGTAACTTAAAGTTTCTTTCCGTTAGAATGAGTTCATTCTTTTTGCAGTGACCATAAGATGCCAAATAATTATACAATGTTTTATAAGTCCAAAGTATTCATGTAACTTTGATCTCAGAGCATTACTTGGTGCTAGTGGCACGTCTGGAAAGTATAAAAGGAAAGCAAATGAATAAACAAAGCCAAACTCCAAAGTATTTCTTAAGTCTATCTGAGAATATGTCTCAGCTTTGACTCAATCAAGGTTGCTGAGTCTTCTTGAAAGACTTAGCTGTGATTACTGCCTCTATTTTCTATTGTCTAAACCCTGTGACAAAAACCACAATGCAATAAAGTAACGTTTGGCTTCAAAGGGAAATGCCACTTTGAAATATTGCTACAAAACTGGAATGTTTTCTTAATACCAAGGCACTGAGAAAACTGCCATGAGTTATATATGCAGCCAGGTTCTGGTGGCTTACGTCTGCAACACTAACTACTTAGAAGGCTAAAATCCAGAGGATCGTGATTCAAAGGAAAGTTTTTACTCTCTCTCCAAAATAATCAGCATAAAGGCAAGATAGAAGCACAGACTATGTGGTAGAGCACCAGCTGAGCAAGCAAGCAAGCAAGTACAAGGTCTTGAGTTCAAATCTTCTGAGCAAAGGAGGAGGCTGCAATGCTTGGTAAGAAATGTACGCATTATCCTGCCCATGCAATTGTAACCCCTCTGTACAGTATGTTCACAAATAAAATTAAATTAAATTAAAAAAAAATCTTCTGAGCACTGGGGAAAAAATGAGTTGACAGATAGATAGATAGATAGATAGATAGATAGATAGATAGGATTTGAATAGATTCTTCAATCTAATTTTTTAAATTTAAATTCACTTACTGAATTTTTAAGTTACAGAATCTCTGCATTCATCTTGAAAACAAGAAAGAACTATAAGAGAACTAATAAGCATTCTTTCTTTGAGTCATCCTATTACATTTTCATTTGACAGTGGTATTTCCCAGGGGCCAGTTGCACCATTTTGAAAAGCATATCACCTTAGAGTCAAAGCAGTGTCTTACTCTATATTTTCCCCCAAATTAACACAATATTTTCCATAAATATGTAAAAAACTTTCTGTTCTTCCTTTATCACCCATTCAAAAGCACCCAAGGGCAATATAGATATTTCATTTTGGTAAGACACATGGGCTTAAGCTCAATGAAGCAGCTGCCCACAAACGAGCTAGGTAAAGCAGATGAAATCTATGACTGAGTGATACTTAGAGGATTACGTTCTGTAACCCCACAGCTTTCTGGGTAGTTTTTCATGTGGCAGATACAGAAGTGAAACTAAGGGAAACCTTTCCTTTTCCACACACACAGCAAGAAAATTGCCTTGATCATTACAGCCTGGTTAGCACAAGAAGGCTGTTGCCCAGGCTGGATATAGATGCTAGTAAATGCAGAATAAAGCACCCAAGAAGGGACAAGAGGCCTCCCCTGGTGTGGTATTATCAGGATCTACTGGAGTTGACAGCCTGAAGCTTCCCAGGCAGCGCTGAATCCCAACAGGAAAGCTAATCGTTGGTTTATCAGGATGCAGAGAGGAGGGTCACAGAAAGAGAGTAAGTCTGTCATTCTTCTACCCAGACTGTTTGCTTTAGCTTCCTAAATCTGTGAAGAGCCTGTGAGCTGTGGCTATGGGTTGGTAGCTTTGTAGGTATTTTGAAAGTCAGGACTGTGGAGGCAGAAAGGATTTGCTAAGATCCTGTCGCACTGGACTATCTCTCACAGTGACCTTTTTTTTTTTTTTTTTAAATCTGATAAGGCACATTAGCTCATCTCCCTTTGTGTAAGACATGAATTAAACAATGAATGGCTGCCCAAAGGAAGTGAAGTAGTTATCACACACTAGGGATTTGGGAGATTATCTAGGGGTTAAAGGTTAATAAAGCAAGATAATATCCTTTGTTTTACCAACTAATTCATACTTGGTTTCTAGAATTCCAGACTGCCTTGAAGATAAATGCTACATAATGGATTTATTTGACTAGAGCATTTTTCATTTTCCCATTTAGTTACATGGTGGGATCACTTTGTATTTTTAATAAAATAATTATCGAGTATTTCTCATTCTCCACAGGGAAATTTAAATAGCTGCTCACCAGGCCAGCAAAAATTCTGATATAAAAAGTTGGAAGAGCTACAAGATTTGGGCTTTTTTTTTTTTCTTGCCACATAATTTTTTTTTTAAGTTTACAAAGAAGTCCCTGAGTCATTCAACAAATATCCTCAAATACAGTGGATGAACCTATTTTTGCCATTCTTTTGGGATTGGCTACTTGCTCATCAGCCTTAAATTAAGTCTACTTTGCCCCCACACGGCTTTGATCTTTTGTACAAAGCTAGATATGTGAAAGCTGCAGGCGAAGAGAAGGTAATTCCAAGCTGGCGTTCCAGTCTAGATCTGCTGTCATAAATTAGTTAGTAGAGGGCATGGTCCGTTACTTTTTATGGTCATGTTCTATATTTGTATGTGCTGGGAGACAGATCACATGACAAAACCATCATTTGATATTAGTGTTTATGTGCACTAGCTAGCGAAGGTTCCTTGTTTGTGTCACTGTGCTGTTCTTTTCATTTGTATGATTTAGCTCTTCATTGAAAGTGCAGACACTTCTCTGAGTTACTAACATTACAAATAATCCAGAATAAATTTTATGTAATTGTCTTCAGAAGGAGACGAACTTCAGCACACCCAACTAATTAAAATGCACAGCGCCTCCCAGAGATTTTTAACACATATGTTTCGAACATGAGCAAATGAACATGGCCGGAATAATAAAGACCAAAATCCACTAACACTTTTTAGCTTCTTTCTTGAGGTGGATACAAAAGAAACTTGAAATTCATTTACTTGAAAGGAGAGACATTTGTTTCTCAAAGAGAAGAAAAGATTCCCCTAATTTCCTTTTCTTCTCTACATCCTTCTCCAGGGGCAGTTTAATATTTAGCGTTCTAGTGGCAAGCAAGAGAATGTAACTGCATTGACATTTATTCTTGCTCATAAAACTAAACAGAAAAAAAAAAAACATTCTTCTCAGGTTTAGTGACTTAGCTGCTATGTGAACCAGTGTTTCTATATCTGGAATCAGTTATGAGATCAATTTTGCCTGTAAGTGATTGGTTTAGATTTCTTTAAAGCCCTTCTTTGAATTTCCTGACCTCCATTAGTTTATTTCTCAGGGTTTGTTTTTTAACTAAGAAGATTCTAAGTGCCTATTCTATAGAAGTTCAATGAGCACTTCTACATCTATTATTATTGTATTTGTAAGTCATCATGCTTTGGAAAAAGGGAGATTAGGGGATGCTATTTGTCATGATTTGTCCTGTGTTTTATGCACATTTGCCATGTGTGTATTCATATCTTAGCTTAGCAGGTTAGCATCTCCATGCCTCAAATCCCACTGCCTTCCCCTACCATTGTCCTCTACTAAGGAACATATTCATCATTCTGATGACCTTAGAAAGCCCTGAACTTAGCCTCTGCTAAACCTCTGTTCATGTGTCATTTGTGAAACATTCTGGGTATTATTTTGTGCCTCTTTTTTTAATCTCCTCAAGAGATTCTAAGAACTTCAAGAATCATTTGAGTTGATGTGTCTTTGTGGTTTTTTGTTTTGTTTTGTTTTTTACATATAATCAGTCATCTTTACAGCACTTTATTTGATACCAAGTTTGAACAGAAGACAGGTTCAGGTTCCTTTGTTTGGTTTGAGGGATAAAGCTAAGTTAATGACAGTGGATCTTGGAGGGGAACAGGGAAAAGTAACATTTTTCTTTAGTATTATTATCTTTTTTTTTTTTTGGTCGGTCGTGGGGCTTGAACTCCGGGCTTGGGCACTGACCCTGCACTCTTCAGCTCAAGGCAAGCACTCTACCACTTGAGCCACAGCGC